GCAAGTCCAGGACAGCCAGGGCGACACAGAGAAACCCTGTCACAAAAAAAAAAAAAATAAACATAAGACTAACTGGAGTTCTCCATCATGCTGGTGTGACCTCAGTCACTATAGGGCTTTGTAGGGCCAGGAGAGTTATAGGAGGGCAGGTGGATTTGCTGCTCTCTTAGAGGAGCCTTCCCTGGGCCCCAGTTTCCCCACTTAAAAGAAAAGAGGTTTTAACTTGGTATGGCATTGCACTCCTTTAATCCCAGCCCTCAAAGGCCAAGACAGGCAGAACTCTGATTTTGAGGCCAGCCTGAATTCCAAGCTAGTCGGGGCCCGCATGGTAAGACATTGTCTCAAATAAATAATTAAATACATATAAAGATAAGGATTTTGAGTAACTGCAGGCCTCTCCCACCTCTCATTGCTCTCCTCTCATGGCTTTACCCCTACTGACACGCACAGTGTTTGCCAACTGTATACACAGTTAGGTGCTATACATGCCTTGTCAGTCCCAGTCCCATGTACTGGCATTTGTGGGCCATCATCTCCTTGAGACTTGTGGGTGTGGCTTCTTTTCTCTGTGTCCACCTGCTCCCCATCCCTTCACCTCCTCTTTGACGGTTCAGTCAGATTCATTCCCAACAACTGGGGCATGAGCTTCATGCTTTTGAGAGGCACTTGACATCAGAGTCACAGCATGCAAGGTAATCCCATGGTGGAGGTGACTTAGAGTTAAGGAGCATCTTATAAAGAATCGCTGCCCTGCCAGCCCAGGTTCAGCCCTGGTTTGGCCCTGGTTCAGCCCTGGTTCAGCCGTTCACTTGCTGTGTGCACTGTGGCAGGCACGTAAACACCTTGAGCCTGACTGCACATGTTTGTAAGATGGAAGGAGGTACCTAGCCATGGAGTTGTGTCAAGCTCCTGGAAATGACCACTGTGGTGCTGTGCTCCTAAGGGTGACACTGGCAGCCATGACAGCCAGATACATTAAGGGAAGAGCATGTCACATAACAGTGTGTGGTGAGAACACAGATGAGCCCGCTGAGAACTGCAGTCAAGAAACTGATGGGAAACCTTGGTGGGACTAGACTTTTACTTATCTCCCTTTCTGTATTTTTAGGCTTTCTTTAGGTTTTGTTCTCAGTGAGAAGGACATCCATTGTTGATTCCTTTAACTGGATTAATTGCCCAGAGCAGCTGGTCAGCTCAACACATAAGTGTGTCTCCCTTCTTTCAGGGAAGATCAGTTTTCCTGCTGTCCAGGCTGCACCATCATTCAGCAACTCTTTCCCGATGATCTTCCGAGACCGGACAGATATCCAGTGCCTCATCCCATGTGCCATTGACCAGGTTGGGAGGCAGAACCGACTTGGGGACACTGAAGCGGGCCAGCTGTGGTTTTAGGACTCTGTTGGAGAGGGTAGAGGTGACAGAACTGTTGAAAGAAAAGCCGGTTTGAAACTGGCTGCACGCTTCACAGTTCCCTGGGAGGGTGGCTCCATTTGTTGGCCAGAGCATGGCCATTTGTTCCTTTGTCTTTACCCAAGCTTTCTCCACCCAGGATCCTTACTTCAGGATGACGAGGGACGTGGCCCCCAGGATTGGCCACCCTAAACCTGCCCTGCTGCATTCGACCTTCTTCCCTGCCCTTCAGGGTGCTCAGACCAAGATGAGTGCCAGTGACCCCAACTCCTCCATCTTCCTCACAGACTCAGCCAAGCAGATCAAGAGCAAGGTGAGCTGGTGAGAAGCAGGAAGTTTGCAGGGCTACTTAACATAGCACCACATACAACTCAGAGTCACAGCACTGCTGAGACACACACACACCCCGCCACTGCACGCAGCAGGCCAGCTCGGCTTGGGTGGTTGGGAGTTCCGGCCTTTGGCTTTGCTTAGTCTCACCTAAACCCCTTTGTTTAAGTAAAAACCAGCAGGCTTTTTTTATTTCCTTTTTCTGTCTTCCTTACCAGCATGTTGACACAAAAACAGAGCCTTGATAGTTTTCTTTAAGGTCATATTCAGTGAAGCTGCTGTCAAATAACGAAAAGACTTTCCTCCATCTGAACATCAGAGTGGGCAGAGCCAGTCACCGTGGTGATGTTTTCTGAGTTTCCTTCTCCCTCTGCTGGGGGAACTGTTGATTTGTTCATTGAGACAGAATGAACAAATATAGAATAGGCTATCAGAGACTGGCCTGCCTCTGTCTCGTGAGTTCTAGGACTAATGGTGTGTACTACTGTGCCTGGCTGCACTGTTGGTGTGAAGCACAATCAGGAGATTCGGTGCAAAGTGTGTGCCCTGGCACACTGCTCCAGGGTGTGGGCAACAGCTTAGACTGCTGTCCTCTAGAATGCTGTTCTGGGAAGAATTGGGAAATACCCTCCAGTGGGTCTGCCATGTCTAGTCATATCCCTGCTGGCAGACTAGGTACTTGGTAAATACTTGCAAGTCATTTGGAAACTGGAACTAGAGAGGAGTTTGTGCCTCCACATGGTTCAGAGCCAGTGCTGTTGCTCGGTGCTGAGCTGCCAGTGAGTGTGAGCCCCTCATGACTACAGGAAGTCACTGACATTTCCTTTGGACACAAATATGTGTTTATGGGCTGGAGGGTTGACGTGGAGTGAGAGGAACGTATTTGGGGAGTGTTATACAATAGTCAAGAGTCCCTGCCAGGCCCTCAGCCTACTGGAAAGTCCCAAACAGGTTGACAACGGGGACTTTTCAGATCCAGCGCTTCCTCCGGAAACGGCTTCCAACAGTTCTGCCTAACATGGGAGCAGCTGGTCAGAGTGGGGATTTGGGGGAATCCTCCTTTCTCTTTTGCTTTTGTCTGAAACTTCCAGAATGTGGGGGCGGGGGGAGAAGTGAGGTGTGTGGGGAGTATGTTCTGCTTGGTTTGGAGAAGTGGTCTGTGACTCTGGAGGAGTTTTCATTTGCCAAAACCAACAGAAACCCAAGGCTAGTGTGCACAAGGTCAGAACCACATGGGCCTGCAGAGGTCAGGGTCACAGGCAGGCCCTCTCCAGCTCTCCATGCCCAACTCAGCTTCAGAAAAGTTACCATGGCAGAGGACCTTCAGACAGAATCTCCACAACCTAGAGCTGGACTGAGACCCTGCCACAGCAGGGTGAGACTTAGAGTGAGGGAGCTGGCTGGTGGCTACCACAGCTGCCAGCCATCAGGGCCCCTGATCATCTCGGCCTGTAAGGCAACAAGGCACAGGGACTTTTGCCTCCACCCTCAGTACAGAGCACTTCTGTGCCTGCCAAGTGGGTCTCCAGCAGACGCCGCTGGTTGGTGTCCTACAGTCAGTTTCGTCCAATGCTTCTTCCCTGCAGAGTGCAGCACTCACAGTTTAAGGCTCAAGCCCACTTCTGTGCCAGCCACAAGGCTGTGGCATCTATATGTCTGACAGACCACCCCTTCACCAGGGTTCCCACAGCCCCGACTGAGGTGACACTAATTTTCTGGAACAGCTCACAGAACTCAGGGTAACATTGCCTATCATAAGGCAGGAAGGTGGGGGGTCCAGGCACTCTGAACCCATCTCTGAGCACATTTGCTCTCATGAGTCTTCGACCTAGAAACTGAGCAGTTCTCCTAGAGAATTTGGGAGGTTCCCAGGTTTTAGGAACTTTGTACCAGAACAAAATATTGTGACGAAACATGATTATATCACTGTGGAGACTTACCTTAGCAATCTTGGCAGCATTTGTGAGATGCAAAGTTTAGTGACCTTTACCCCTAGCACTCATTCATTTTATTTATTTGTTTGTGTGTTTATTTACTCTTTGGAGACAGGATCACACTGTGTGCCACAAGCTAGCATGGAACTCGCTAGTCCTGGCTGGCCTCAGACTCACAGAGATCCCCTGCAGAGGCCTCGTGAGTGCCAGGATTAAAGGTCTACACCACCACATCCTGCTCTTTTATTAGTTCTTTTTCTGTTGTTTTGTTTTGAGATGATGTTTCTGTGTGTCCCCCAGGCTGGCCTGCAGCTTCTGAACTCTAGCAGATCCTTCTAAGTGCCCACCACTGTGCTCAACTCTGATTTGTTAGTCTCCAGGGTTGGTTGGTTTGGTTTTATTGCATCAGTGACTACTTGCCTGTATGTCTGTACATCACATTAGTGTCCGGTACCTACAACAACCAGATGAAGGCATCAGATCCTCTGGGACTGCAGTTACAGACAGCAGTGAGCTGACGTGGGTCCTGCCGATTAAACTCTGGTCCTCTGGAAGGGCAGCCAGTGCTCTTAACCACTGAGTCATCTCACCAGGTCATCAGGGACATTCCTGACCACCTGACATATGACCTGTTTCAGGGTGGAGACCTGCCTATAGCCTTTCCTGTCACTTCACATGGAGAGTCTAGCGTCTCTCAGCTGTGTTCTAACCTCATGGCTTGTGTGCATGTGGGGCTGGTGCTGCTTCCCTGCCACCTGTGGACACAGCCACCTGCCCCCCTTTCTGTTGATCACTACTCTGAAGAGGCCTTTGGCTCTTCCCCAAATTTTAGCCCATCTGCTTTTGTTTTCAGACTGTTCTGTAGCACTGGGCAGTGAGGGGGTCAGTAGTGTGACTGCCACCCCATGGGTCCTGTTGGACATCCAGGGACAGGGCACCACTCTGACTAGCCTCTGTGCTGGCACAGGTCAACAAGCATGCATTTTCTGGAGGAAGAGACACCGTGGAGGAGCACAGGCAGTTTGGGGGCAACTGTGACGTGGATGTGTCCTTCATGTACCTGACCTTCTTCCTTGAAGATGACGACAGGCTGGAGCAGATCAGAAAGGTGAGTTGACCCCCACTCTGCTCCCTACCCGAAAGCCTGACAGCTCAGCCAGGCCTGTGTGTTGCTGGAGCATCCTCAGTGGCCTGGGCTGAGCCAGGCACAGTGGTTCATACTTAGACCTAACTGCTCAGGAGGCTGAAGCAGGAAGATTGCAAATTCCCAGCCAGCCTGGGCTACAGAGCAAGATACTGTATTTAAAAGAAAAACAGAACAGGTGCCTGCTTCAACAGCATATATACCATAATTAGAATAATACGGAGAAGATTAACATAGTCCCTGCACAGAGATGACAAGAAAGCCATGAAGTGTTCCATATGTAAAACAAAACAAAAAACTAGGTAAGCTCACTCAGATTTTTAGCCACGTGGGAAGAACCCTTAAGTAGTTCACAAAAGGGAGACCATAACAAGGTGTGTCTTCCTTGTCAAGAGAGAAATGTAGGTAAAACTGCATGCTGGCAGATGATTTAGGGGTCCACTGTCCCAGGACAGCCTCTCAGTGAGCAGCCTGGGACAGGTAAAGCCTTGGCCTTGGAATGTTTTCCAAGGAAATCCTATGAGATAGGAAACAACTTTTCATACAAAGATAACGGAAACACTAGCAGAAAAAAGACATGCAGACATGCTCTGTGCAGCCAGGAGGCCAGGTGAGAATCGTTGGTTGTTATTGTTTTAAGATGGAATCTCACTGTGTTGCCCTGGGACTCCCTATATAGATCAGGCTCACAGAAAACTCAGCTTCCTGAGTGCTAGGGTTATAGGAATAAGTATTTGAAGGGTTTTATTGAAGTGGGAACCAGTGCCAAGAATAGTGAAAGAAAGAGGCAGTGAGAAGCCAGGAGTAGGGCTACATGACACTCACAGAAAAAATTGTCAGGGGAAATATCCCATTCACTAGAAGTGGTTAGTGCCTGTGGTGTAGAACTGCAGGTGGTGGACAGTCAGGAAAGAAGGCATCAGGGTACAAAGAAGCCAGTGCAGCTTGGAGCTGCATTCAGGTCTGCCCCTCTCTTTTTAGTATGGTTTCCCCTCCCTCTACTCCTCCAAGTTCCAAACCAACTTCCCACCTATCCATAGCCACTCCCTTCCTGTCTTTCATTAGAAAACAAACAAGTTCTAGGGGACAATAATAAGATAAAAACAAAAACTAACACACAGCACAAGAAACAGACATTTTAATGTCGTGTAAGACCCAGGTTACTGTGACACTTTCCGAAAGCCTCATAAAGGGACATTGGCTGAAGTAGGGAGGGTGTGGACACAGGGAGTCACTGCTCATAGCACCCAATTTCCTACAGGATTACACCAGCGGAGCCATGCTCACTGGTGAGCTCAAGAAGACGCTCATAGATGTCCTTCAGCCCCTGGTCGCAGAGCACCAGGCCCGACGCAAGGAGGTCACTGAGGAAACAGTGAAGGAGTTCATGACTCCCCGGCAGCTGTCCTTCCACTTTCAGTAATGCTTCTCTGTGTGCATATAAAGACAAAACCTGTCAATAATCCTGGCCCCGGTAAATCAAGTCACTCCCAGTAGGCTTCTGTCACATGGTAATTCCTGGGTCTCTACGCCCTTGTGCATTCTGGATGCTGTGTCTTCTGTGATGTCTCTCCACCAGATGTCTGCTGATGGTAATCAGGGGCTGCTAATGTCGTGTGATCAGATAGAAACCCAGCCCGAATCTCTCCCACAAAGAGACCACAAAGAGTCCTCAGTGGCCCACAGAGGACTGTTCATCTAGCAGCCTAGGGTTCCAGATAAATCCTAAAATCTATTCGTTTTTTTTTTTCCAATTATGTGTGCTCAGCTAGCCAGAATGGTGCGTACTTTATAGTCTCTGTACTCAGAGCCTCAAGTTCTGGGCCAGCCTAGGCTACCTAGCAAGATCCTGTCATAATCTGTATTTGATTCTAATTCTGTGGAATCAAAATGCCATTATTGTAAAACTGAAAAGGAGACATTTAATGGGCAAAAGATACTGTGCTCAAGCCCATACCAAATATATATATAAATATATTTACATACACTATATATAAGCTTTGCTTTATGCTTGACTAGGAGGTCATCAGCTTTTTCCTGGAGGAGTAGCTCAGGAGTAGAGCACTCACCCAGCATGCATGATGCCCTGTGCTCAGTCCTCTTCACCACAGGGGTGTCAGTCAGCTCAAAAGCTGATTTTAACACTGATTATGGACCAGGCTGGGCCATTTCTAGTAACCTGAGTCTTGTGGGGTGAAACTTCAGGCTGAGGTAACTAAACTCCAGATCACACATGTTGTCCACTCCAGAATCATGCTTGTTGCCCTTAGTATACTAACTTTTCCACAGATGGCCCAGACTCTACCTTGTAAAGCCCAGTGGTGGCTTCTCCCAACCATCAGACTCTAAAGACAGTCTGTTGCCTTTGCAGATGCTTTTGTTTTGACACTTGACTGATGTGGAGGGCAGCACAGAGCAGTGTGCTGGCCATGCCTCAGGCCAGTGGACCATAGCTAGGCAGAAAAGAACAGCAGCCATCCAGGCCTTGGCCTCCTCCCTCTGGGCTGGCTGCATGTAATTAGCCACCACTCAGAGTCTTGACAAAGCAGAAGCCATATCTCAGGGAAAGCCCCTGGTTGAAGTGTCTGTCCTCTGAAGGCACAAGGGCCACCCTGAGTGTTCTGTACTTGCATCATTTTCAGGCAAAAATAAACTTTGTTGTGCTCCTGTCTTTGCCACTTTCTGTCCAAGCATGCTATAGAGGTACTTGAACTTGCTGCAGGCCTAAGCTACATTACCCCACTGCTGAGGCTGTAGCCATTCCTCTTGCCTGGAGGTAGAGGGGCAGGCAACACTTAGGAAAATGCAGAGCTGTGAAATCCCATGGTGCTTAAAGTCTCCCAGGGATCATTTTGTGGGGCCACTTATCCTGAGAAGCCGCCCTTCTCAGGCTGAGATTGCTTTCCCTCCTCGTTTGGCGGTCCAACAGCCTAAAGAGAGTATGTGCACATGACATCCTATTTGAAAAGAGTTGGGTACTTGGGGAGGTGCTGAAGTGAAGAGCACAGGCTTGAGCTGGGCCAGGGGAGACCCAGCCATATGGGGCCTGGCTTCACCTTACCCATCTGTCCTCATTTGCAAGTAGGCAGACAGGATTTGGAAGGAAACATGACTTGTCCAGGGCCACACAGTGAATTTGTTACTACTGAGCAGTCTGTTCTGACTTAGTACTGAGAACACTAAGATTCACTCACACCCTGGGAGGCCAAGCACCTGGACTCAGAGCCCATGAGAGTGCCAGAGTGTGGCATGAAGCTCCTGCAGGCTCCCACTGGGCTGGCCACACTTCAGGCCAGCACCTCACCTGGCTCTAGCCAGAGGTAGTGCAGCATGCGGAAGATGGCCTTGCTCTCTCACTGTGACACAGGGTGGCTAATGCCATCAAAGCGCCATTGCACCCATGGAACATATGGGTGTGCAGATGAAAGAGAGACATTGCTGTCACTGTTCATCCAGCCAGAGCATCTGGTGGCTAAGGTGGGGTCGGGGGCCCAGGGAGGGGTGAGTGCCCAGGCCAGAATCCCCCATCATCCACAACTTTGGGCCGGGTCGGGGGAGGGGAGGAGCTTGACCACTTGGGAGCTCCATCTTCTCCATCTAAAATAGCAGAGAAGTGATGCCCAAGGCTGCTGCTCATGAGGATCAGGGTAGCTACAGGCCTGCAATGCCCACTGACACATTTGCTAAAAACCAGTGGTCTCTTGAAGCTCCCTGAGAGAAAGGTTCAGCAGGGTTTCTGATGGGGGCAGCCTGGGAACAGTATCCAGTACCAAGTGGTCCACAGAATTCCCAGGAAGAACAGCCTTTACTCTGAGGGATATCCAAATCCCAAAGATGCGGATGTCAGCCCCTCTGACAGGAACAGGTGACAGCTCCCATCTAGACTAGTATGTCCAGGGAGTAAGCAGGCCTGGTGAGACTCGCCAGAGTTACACTATTGGCCCTTCTCTGGACTCGTAGGTCTGCAGCCAGCACGCAATGCAGGAAGCCTCAAGGGCAGCTTTTAGCTCTCACTGCAAAGGTCAGCTACAGCCTTGGTTTTGTTTTATTTTATTTTATTTTATTTTTTTTAATTTATTTATTGAAGTAGCTCTGTGGGGAAACCATCTCTCCTCAGTGAGTTACTTGGGAGCAGCCAGACCCTTCTCCCTGATTCTAAACTTCTGGCAGCAGGAGGGATGGTGGCTTAATGTGTAGAGTCCCTGCACTTGGGAGGCTGAAACAGGAAGACAGAATCTGAGGCCAGCCAGGGCTATACAGAGAGTTCCAAGCCCTTTACACTGAGCCTCTTCCCTCACCAGTGGCAGCCTGGAGACCTAGGCTGGGCCAGCAGCTCAGTAGTTGCAGTCAGCGGGAACCAGAGTGCCTGTGCTGGCTCCTGAGAATACACTGGAGCTCAGCTCCACAGCTGAATGATATGCCAGGTGTGGTGGCTCACACAGTTATAATCTCATCCCATAGGGGGCAGAAACAGGCACGCTCCAAGCCAGTCAAGACTACATAGTGAGACTTTTCTATTAAAAAAAAAAAAAAAAAGAATGAGTGGACACCAGAGGACCCTGACAGGGTTAGGGTTGGTAAATTTTTTTTTTTTTTTTAAAGATTTATTTATGTTTACAATGTTCTGTCTGCATGTACACCTACATGCCAGAAGAGGGCATCAGATCTCATTATGGATGGTTATGAGCCACCATGTGGTTGCTGGAAATTGAACTCAGGACCTTTGGAAGAGCAGCCGGTGTTCTTAACTTCTGAGCCACCTCTCCAGCCCAGGTTGAATTTTTGTGACCTTTAACTAGCTGTCCTTTTCCAGGCACTGGCCCAGAATGTCCCAGCATCTTGACTTCTCTAAGCTAGGTGAACTTTCAAGTTCAGAAACTAAAACCAAAAGGACTTGAGGATTGCAATTCAAGAGATGTGGAATGCTAAATCAGTGTTTGAAGCATGTGAGCAAAGTGGTAGAATGCACACAAAATGGCTCTTAAATCTCCACAAAGGAATTAAAATTGCTTAAAGAGAAACCTTACTGAAACTGAAGAGAACACAAAGGCCTTCAAAAGTCCATAGCAGCTGTAGCTTGTGTATCTGTCTAGCCCTCGTGATGCCTGCAGAGGGTGGCTGGGACAGCCTTCCATCCAGGCTACAGCTGGAGACATGATGAAGCCTTGCCTCCTCTAGCCTCCCAACGCCATCTGGAAGCTCGCCGGCTTTCTTCATAACCCAGACCTTACTGCAAGGCTTCCAATTCCCTGTTCACCAGAAACTGAGAGGTCCTGGGAAGCTCCCAGTTATGAGATGGGAGAGATACGCAACCAGTCAGCTGGCCAGGCTCCATGGGAGGAGCCCAGAGGGAAATCCTGCAGGCAAGGGCCCCGCATATGAGATCTGGTAGGAAGAGTAGTCCCAGAAACAGATCCTGCCCCTTCCTCTAGAAATTGGAAAGTTTCCCTGGACTGAAAACAAAACAAAAAACTGGAGGACATGTTCAGGCTTTGAATCTGAACATGCACAGCTGAGGCAGGTCTACTCTATCACAGGGCTTTTCTGTGAAGACCCAGTGAGTGGGCTCACTGTCTACCAGCCTGACTCCCAGTGGGCCTATCACTGGAAGCCATAGGGTCCCTGGAGAGGGAGGCTGAGCCTCAGAAGAAGTCTATTCCCACCATGTGCCTGAGGGTAGACCCAACCCTATCCTGTTCTCCAAGACACTGGTCCACAGAACCTCTGTAAGGTACCCAGCACCTTCCCACCCTTGACGGAGTGCTCCAGCGAGGTGCTTGGCCTGCCTGTGCCACCGATAGCAGAGCTACACAGCCCAGAAAGTAAAACCGGCCCGAGGGCCATGCAGGGTTTCACAAGGACCGATACACAGTAGGCGGCATCTCAGCCACCAGGGCCAAGGCTCCAAGCCTTCCCTCCCACCAGGCCCAGACAGGCTTCACACAGGCACTGGATGAGCACAAGGTGGGGGGCCGGGACCCCACAGACCACAGCAGCGCCACTGAGCAACCACAGAAGCGTTTATTAACAGCCACTCCTGACCCAGGTTCCAGGATCTCATGTGGCAAGCACAGCACACACAGGCAGTATGGGTATGTGGGGTGTTGGCCTGTAGCAGTTCCTCGGCCAGTGATAATGGTGGCCCCTCTTGGCCAGCCTAGGACAGGGAACAAGCCCAGCCTGTAGCCAGATGGCTCATCTTGCTGTCTGGTCCCTAGCCTGTCTCTAAGGGGACAGCATGGATTGGTGGAACTGGGATTGGAGGGTGGCTGAGCCCCCAATGGGTTTGGTGAGGATATGCTCTGAAGTTGTGGGTGTGGACAAGTAAAAGCAGCAATGAACAGTTGTTCAGTGACAGGTGACTCCAAGTGACACATGTTCTCATCAAGGAGAGCCACACAACCCTGACTCATGACCCCCAAGCAGATGGCAGACGAACTCTCTGACTTTGTGGTCAGCAGCCGGGCAGGCCAAGCTCAGGCCTCCCCTGAGTCTGCTGTTCCGGTGATAGCCCCGTGGCATCCTCAGCCTGCCCTTGCTTGCCTTTGCCTCCAGCTGGCTGTTGCTGACCGGTGGCTATGTTGTGAGCAGGCTCTGAGTGAACCGTAGCACAGCCTCATAGGCCACGAAGACCACCATGTTGACAGGAAAGGCGCGGCAGCAGTTGAGTGCCAGCCCTTTGAAGAGCACCCTGGGGCCCTCCTCCCGCACGCTGGTCACCACACAGTGCAGGAGGCCCCGGTAGCGCTGCTGGCCCTGCCCGTCCGCTTGCAGGCGGGACTTGACCACATCCATGGGGGTGGCCACAGCCCAGGCCAGGACCCCAGCACAGCCTCCAGCCACCAGCACACATAGGACATCTGTGGGAGAGACAGTGACCATGCCTTATTGCCAGCTTCTCGGAGACAGGACCCAGCCCAGGGCAGGCCACTGAGTCAAGATAAACCCCTCTACCACAGAGTCACACACAAACACACACTCCCCTCAGAAACCCTACTTGAAAACTAAGGCAGGTAGATAAGGAAGCCTAGCTCCATTCGGTGTTAGCTGCATGTGCAGCCTGAGAGTACAAACACGCCTGGATTAAAGATAGGCTTCTCTGATGCATGGACCCCTCTCTCAGACCCCACCCCACAAGGCAAACCCTACCCTCCGCCTGTCACTCACCTGGCTGGCTACGGCCAGCAGGGGTGAGCCACTCACTGAGCATGGCATAGGAGAGAAAGTAGGTGGCAAAGGAGTGCCCTTCACGAAGGAGCAGAGCTGAGCTGCCCTTGTAGAGTCCCCGCAGGCCCTCTTCACGGGCCACCGTGACTAAACAGTGCAGCGGCCCACAGTACTTGAGTCTGGGCTGCAGACACACAGTGGGTGCAGGACACAAAGCAGGAGCAGCGGATGTCCAGGAGGCCGAGGGCCGCCGCTGCTGTGTCTGAGCTTGGGCCTGTGTCTGCAGGCGGACTTTGGCCACCTCAGTGGGGGATGTCAGGAACACCTGGGACAGAGAGTAAGTGAGAGTAAGTAGGACGTGCCTATGGCCTGCCCACACACTCTAGGACACAGCCTTCCATTGGCTGTGACCACCCAGAGCAGTACTGAGAGCCTGGACCTCAAGAAGCTGCAAGCTGGCCTCAGGGCTTTGGCGGTGCTGGGCTCAAAGCCAGCTCATCCCAATTAAGGCCAAAGCCAAGGCCTTCTACTACTTCTCTCCTGTCTGAGCACATATCAGGTTCTAAGAAAATGTGATGAAGTTCAGGAGCCTAGTTGACACAATTGTTTGTGACATAGTCATATTGCCAAAGGCAAGGCATGGCGGTCGCTGTGGGACTCAGATAAGTCAGGTCCTCACACCCCTGGCCTCCCTTACTTCTCATCACACCTCTTGCAGATGAGATGGCAGCTCAGAACAGCTCAAGAGTTGAGCTTGGCTGGCTAGATTCGGGCCTTTGGTCTCTGCACTGTGCATCGTGGCTATGACACACACTTGGCCCCTCTACCCATGGGACTCTGGTTAAGTACTGAATGCTTATCTGTGCTCCATCCTGGCCTATGAGAGATCTCGGCTGCACTTTCCTGTCCTGTTCCCATCTGTGGTGCCTGATGCTCTGTCTCCACTGAGGATGAAGGATGCCAAGTATCCATGGTAACACTAGCTGGTGTTCAGGCATTTGGTGGCCATCCTGACGATGGAACCCTTCCAGCTGGAAGGTCACAGGCACCTGAGTGCTATCTCTCTGGGTCCACCTGACAGGGAGGGTCTTTATGGTCATTTCCTCCTCCACCTCTCCTCATCTCCACTGGAGCATACTGGGAGGGACATCAAAAGCAGCCTAGCCCACCCCAGGCAGGATACTGGTCCCTCACCATAGTTCCTGTGCCCGGCAGAATCTACCTTCACAGAGCCTAAGCCTTGACGCCTGCTAGGAGGTGTGATTCAGACTCTCTGGTTGTCTCTGATGCCCTTCCACCCTCAACTGCCTCCACTCACCCGGACAAGGCCAGAGGCACATCCTGAAAGTGTGATATCCACCTTGGTGGGTTTGGCATCAGTGCTGCCATACCGGAAGCGGCAAATGTGAGCCAGGCAGTGGTGGTAGGTTCCAAAAGACACAGATGACACCAGGGACACTGTGCACACAGGCAGTGAGAGGCCCTGGTAGAAGCCACACACCTGGTGGATGGAGACCAAGTAAGCACAGGACCCAGCCAAGAGAGAGAATGCCCTGCGGCCGGGACAGCTGGGACTAACCTCTGTCTCCCTGGCCCAGGCCAATGCCACTGGACATCATCCTTGGGGGTCTCAGGACTTGATGACGTTTGAGGTTGGGTGAGGAGTTGAAGAGACAGTGATGGAGCCAGCATGATGCTCAGCTAACCTCTGCCTACACCAAGCTGCACACTCACTGTTGAGTGTCCTCAAGACCTTCCCCTGGATGGGCTCCTCCCTGGCCTTCAGGAGCCCAGTTTCCCCTGTGTTCCCTCCCCTGGTGACAGGGATTTGGTTCTGTACTGTATAATGTCCCAGGTGCTCAGGCTTTGGGCCTCAAAGGAAACCTTGAGCTGTTATACCTGTGAGGAGGGCCACCAAGCTAGGGCTCAAGGGGAGGGGCATCATTAGCAAGTCCCAGCCCCTGGTGCCACCCTATCATTGGGCCCCGGTCCTACCCGCTCTTGACGATATATGTCCCGGATACAGGACCAGATACTTGTGTACTTGGCTTCAGTCTGGATTCTGACCTGCAGGAAAGGAAGAAGGCTTCAGGAAGGGCTGACCTTAGGCCTGGAGTGAAGCAAAAGAAGCCTAGGCTGTGTCCCTTGCCTGTCATGCATCTGCTGTCTGAATGGGGACAGTGAGCCCCCTCACTGAGGCACAGGGTGAGAGAGATAACAGTCCCAAGAGCCATAGGGAACCACTGGCAGTATTGGGGTAGGAGAGGGCTAGGTCCTATGAGCATTCCAACTGATGAGCAGAGCTGGGTCCAGGAGTGCAATCTAAACCAAGGCAGGGCCTTTGCTATACCTTCACTGTGTCCAGAGGGTAGCCCACAGCAACACCGCAGACTCCTGCAAGACAATCAGAGGAACCAGTGAGGCCTCGGGAGGGGGCCCTGTCAGCAGTGAGAGCCTGGCCATCCCAAGGAACGGGAGGAGGTGACCTCAAGCAAGCCCCTCTCTCCAACTCCCAGCTGCTGCCACCTGGGCTCCTCCTCTCTGCATCCTTTGTTTTGCTGGTGAGAAACTGAGGCTCAGGGTGCATGGGCCAAGCTTGCTAGACATCTCCCAACCCTGATTCCTGGCCCAACAGTGCCTATACCACTGCCCATGCCAAGGACATTCCTCGGCCTCCCCTCTGACATCACATTTTGGGAGAATGTCTGGCTCCACTCTGGCTGACCCTGTCTGAGGCAGGCAGACTGCACTGAGCCTGTGCAGGGTTTGTGTGGAAGCCGGGTGGGTGGACACCCACACATTACAGGGGTGGGGGAAGGGCACATTCTGAGCAAAGGCCCAGTGAGCAGCCCAGACGCCCACGCAGGCCACTGAAGAGCCAGCATTGCCTGGAGCCGAAGGTGAGTGTAGAACAGGGTGTACGCCACTGCCGTTGTCTGGACACACACCCCAGAGGCCCATGCGTGGGAGGTGGCAGAGCCGGCCGTAAGTCCTTAAGTCACTGGGGGTCGCCTCTTGGAGGGAACTATGAAATTGCAGCCCCTTGCCTTTTGGCTTCCTGGATAAGAGAACCCCTGACTGTTGTCCTTCAGTACCCACACAGAGGCCCAAGCAGTGGAGCCACCTAGTGGTCGGAGCCTCGGGAACCACCCACTAAGTAGCCACTTCTCTGCCTGAGTGGGTTGACAGAGGACAGTGGACACAGCTGCTGAGCCATCTGGCAGAGGGGCCTACAGTGTCCACCTTGGCTTTGGACCAGGAGGTCCACACTGCCCTCTGAGCCCTGCCACTCCCAGCACCAGGGCCTCCGCATCTACAGCCAGCACAGCCTTGAGGAAGCTAAGGGCCAGTCAGCACTTGACCTTTCTAAGCCTGAGCAAGGATGCTGAGGACACCGTGGAGGGTGACAAGGCCTGTGGGGTTGTGTTCTGGGAGGCATTCCAACACAAGAAGGAATGCCTGGGGAAGAGTGTAAAGCAAGAGTCTGTCTGACAGGAGTTTTGGCTAGAATACCCCTCTTTGTCTCTCACACTTACTTTACCAACTCCATTCTATCCCTCAAAGCCCTCCTCTCTTAGTCCTCCTTACTGTGCTCTTGGTTGCCTCTGCCTAGAAACACGTTGAGTGAACTAGAGAACCCATCCACTTGGGGTATCCTTGGCAGCTATTCTTGGGATAGCATTCGAACCTGTGTCATATGGCCTTGCTGCTATGCCCCCATGTTCCATGGCCCCTTCTGTATCTAGAGTTCTTCCAGGAAAGGCTTGGGTCTGGGTCCCTGGAACCAACACAGAGCTAGGACCCCCTCATCAGGACCTTTCCTGTGGCTGGGAAGAGGATGTGACCTCCTGTGGTGCCAATGTTCAGGAGAACAGCCATCCTTGAGATGGCACAGGTCAAGATCCCAGGCAGCCCCAGGCAGGGCCAGGACCCAGCTGTCTTTCCTTTCTGACCTCCAGGCTGTTACCCCGCAATGAGAAAGAGCCACCCATGGCTGTTTCACAATAGCTGCAGGGCCAAAGGTGCCTCACTCAGAATAGTCACACAACCTGAGGAGCGATGGTCCATGGAGTCCAGAGAGCAGCCACCTCACTCCTTTGTCATCTCTCCCCCCACGGGGGTGGAGGGGAGGCCAGTTTCAGCTGCAGGGGTCTAGATGTTGGTAGTAGGCCTCAGTGAGCCAGAGATGCCGTCTAGCTGGGCCTGCTCTGTATCTAGATCCTGCTCCCTGCTGCAGAACTCCTGGCTGTGCTGTTCTTCCCTGGAACGCTCTGTCACTCCTCAGGACTCATTCACCCACACCGAGGACCCCAACCATCTAACTTCATGGGGACAAGTTCCTGTTCCCAAGGCAAGGATGCCTGGGCTGGCTCAGCATCCTGCCTGATCTTCGAGGCCAGTGGGAACCTGCCCTCCCCTTCAGCACCCATAGCCCATATCACCATTTTACTCAAACCCCAACTGCCTGGGACTCCGTCCCCCTAACCACACACACACAAGCACTATCCCTGGCTCTCCTCATCCCCTCCACCCCTCTCTCCCCATATTGTACCTCCAATGGCCCCAGCAACAAAATCCATGGACTCTGGTCTGTGTCCGTGCCACACTGGACAGCTCCTACAAATTCTGTGGATCTTAAATACCTGTGAGCAGAGGCGGAGACAGGACTGTGTGACAGGCTATTTTGATACCCACACTCACATGCCCTAAAAGGACCGTGGTGCCAATGACCTTAGCATCAGGAAAGCATGTGAGAGGTCATGGGAGGTGGCCAACCCCCAGCCATAGGTCTACCTCTGTTTCCAGATTCAGACATTGCCAGGCTTCTGACTGATTATACCGACTGTAATCAGTAACCCCCTCTTTATAGCTCACATCTAGTCCTGAAAGGGAAGAGAAGTGAAGGGGCCACCAAGACCCCACAGGGGACTTGCCTGAGGCAGCCACTATCTTAGAGCCCTTCTCTCTGATGGCCAGCCCATGCAGGAAGTGCAGCCTTGCCTGTATGGCCACCGCTTTGGCTAGTTCCATTCGGGGGGGGGGGGGGGCAGTGACCCAGGCTGCAGCTCTACGGGTGATCTGAGGGGGCTCAGGGCCAGAGAGTCTGATAATGAAGGGAAGGGACATGTTGGCATGGAGCTCCCAGCTGTTCTGTCTGAATGACCCTCAGGGTCGGGCAGCCACGTGTCCACCTGTTTTTCTGTTCTCTGTGGGCTGACCTTGAACAGGCTAGTTTCAAGCCAGGGATGACCCCATCACCCCGACAGTTTGTCTGCTTTTAGGCAGTAGGCAGTGCTAGCTGCCACAGCAAAGGGCAGAGAGCAGAGGGGGACAGGAAGTAGCCTGTTCAAGGCCAACCTTGATGTCCATCCTGGCCCATAGAGGGACATGGCTCAGTAACTGACTGGAACTCGACCTGCCTGCATTCAAACCCCAACTCTGCCACTTGGCTTTGAGACAAGACCTTTGGCCTACCTATGCACCCACAAAATCTGTGAGCACACAGGGCAAGCTCCAGCTGTGTCCCCACAACATTGCCAGCCAAATTCACTAACAGAAGCAGAGGGTCTAGAAGGCAATGATGGGGCTGCTCTGGAGAAGCGGCTGGGCCAAATGCTAAGCTCAAGAAGCTAGGACCTTGGACAATGAGGGAGCCTAAACTACATTGTCCGCTTGAGAGGACAAGGGCCCTTCGGTCCCACATTGCCAGTGGATAGGGCCATCCAGCCTAACACTAGACCCCCACAGGACCCCCAGGATACCTTTCTCTCTCTGTCCCACATCCAGCCTTGGTGTCCATCCTCAACTCTGGCAGGCAGGAGCTGTTGCCACTGTCTGCCTGCACATCCCTAACTGTGTCGTCATTCCTGGACAGCAGCCCACCTGTCCAGGCTCCTGACACGTGCAACCAACACATGCCAGGTGCCAAACATTGTAACATCTCCATAAACACAGCAATCTAGTTCTGCCCCAGAGACCTGATGTGTTGGAAGTGAGACAGAGAGTCCTGGACAGACAGGAAAAACCCAGAGGCGGTTGCAAGGACTGATGTGGCCAGCTGCTGCTTCCAGTTGGGCACAACCATCGCTAGGAAACAAAGCAGTGTGGCAACCCACAGGAGACTCTCAAGAAAGTAGGCCTCATAATATCCCTCATGATGCAGGAGGCTCAGGAGTCTCTCAAGGCCTTTCTCTATCCCAAGATCACTTAAAAAGAACCCTGAGCACACAATGTCAGAAACAAAGATGGACAGGATTCCTCAATTCGAAAGTCAGTTTCATTGACTGTGGTTGGGCAAGTAATCCTGATTTTACCTGCTGCTGTGGCTATAGGCAATCACGGATTCTTTTATTCCAGCCTTAGTTATTGGTATTAGTTTTCAGATCACACATTACACAGTAATACACACATACACACAGATTAAAAAGCTAAGAGAGCCAGGCAATGGTCGAGCACACCTTCAGTCCCTCCTGGTGTGCTGGCAGGTGGTATTTACCTGTGTAAACAGGATGTAGAATCATTCTTTCTTGGCACTTACACTCAAAATGGAGTGTGGCAGTTTGAATAAGAATGGCCCCCACAGGCTCATATATTTGAATGCTTAGTCACCAGGGATTGGCACTAAGTGAAAAGAGGTGTGGCCTTATTCGAGGAAGTGTGTCACTGGAGGTGGTCTTTGAGATTTCAAAAGCCCTTGCCAAACCCAGTCTCTCTCTCTCTCTCTGCCTATGGATCTTGATGTCGCTCTCACACGCTCTCAGCTGCTTCTCCCGCACCGTGTCTGGCCTCCTCGCTCCCCACCACCTCCTCGCTCACCACCACGCTCCCCCCCATGATAATGTACTAGACCTCTGAAATCATAAGCAAATCCCCAATTGAATGCTTTTTTTTTTTTTTTAAATAAGAGCTGTCCTGGTCGTGGGGTCTTTTCACAGCAATAGAACAGTGACTAAGACATGGAGTAACTCAGGTCTATGCTCTGACTAGGCAGTCTACAAGCTGTTAGCCCACATAACAGTGTTACCTTAAGAGGCAAATAGCTGGGCTGATGAGATGGCTCAGTGGATAAAGTGCCTGCCTGCTAACAAGCCTGAGTTCGATCCCGGGGCCCACATGTCGGAGAAAAGAGAACTTCTCAAGCTGTTCTCTAACTTCTGAGTGTGCGTGCACATAAATGAATGTGATGTTTTTAAAGAGAAAGATAAACAGGGTGAGACTTCCCAGCAGCATTAGTGCCCTTTGAGTTTCTTGTAAATAATCCCAAAAAACTCACAGGTCACTGATCTAGACTTGGGTGGAATTCTGTCTTTGGTCTGCTGATGCCGGCTGTACCTGGAATGAAGAAGCTTTTCTTTACTTTGCGCCAGGGAGAGTCACGTGGCATCCAGATTAGCAAGGAGAGAGGAGAATAAAAGGAGGTAGGCGGGCTAGGTGAAGGAGTATGAACTGAAAAGGTAACGCTCAGCCACCTTCTCTCAGTCACCAGAGCCTAATTTCTCCCATACTTCATCATTTGAACAAATGTGCCCAGACTCACCAAAACCACAACTGGGCCCCAGACTGTATGGCTGCCTTATATTGGTTCCTCATTGGCTGTAAACCCCCACAGACATTGCTAGCCCATGCTGCTTTTCCTACATGCCCATAGCATACAGTTCACGGCTGGCTGCTGCTTGGGTGGTTAAGTGGAGGTACATAAAAACAGGGCAGTAAGCAGGCAGATGGGTTGAATAAATAGAGAGGCAGGTAGAAGAGGGAGGGTGGGGTGGAGGGTGAATGGATGGATGGATGAATAAAAAGATAAGCAAAAGGAAGAAAGTAGGAGACTGGAATGAATGGAAGAATGGGATGGATGAACGGGTAGAAAATAAATGAAAGATAGACAGATGGCTGAGGAGTCTAAGCAAGGGGAAGATGAATGGGTAGAAATGGATAATGGATAAATAGAGCAACAAAAAAAGGCAGAGTCAAAGATGGAGAAATGAATGAATAGCTACAGCAAGGGAAAGATGGATTGGTAGAAACAGGATAGCTAGATGGATGCAAAAATGGAGCATAGACACATCTGTGTAGATAGATAGATAGATAGATAGATAGATAGATAGATAGATAGATAGATAGATAGATAGATAGATGAGGGACAGACAAAGGAAAGGATGATAGGAGGAAGGAGTGGGAGGTGAGTGGCTAAAGATTGGATCTAGGCCATAGGAAGGCAAGGTTTGCTGTAGTTCGTGATAAAAGCAGCTGAAGAGCAGACAGAAGAATAGAGCCGCCTGTGCCTGCCCTGCCTCCTTCTGGAGTGACTGTCGTCATGAGGGGGCCTATGAGATATCGAGGTGGCCTCCTTCTCTTTGCTGGAAGTGATAGAGAATGTGGCAAGGAAGGAAGTGACCTCTGCTAGGGAGTTCTGAATGTGTGAATTGGGAAAGTGCGGTACCCTTGGCCTGAGTTTGTTGTGGAAAGCTGCATGCCCAAAGGTGTGACCTTGGGTCAGTGACATAACCTCCCTGAGTCTTGACGTTCTTAGTAGGCAGTGGATCTCAGGTCTGTAAGGACAACAGGAAAAGCCTAAGGCATGTCTGATGGGGGTCTCATCCTGCCCTGTGCTAGATAGCTCTTACTGGTATTCAGGGCGGCTTTCGGTCTCCTCCACTTAGATCTCACAGCCTGGGGCTGCCACAGAGGGCTCTGTGGAGAACATAGGCTTCCTGAGTCACCACAGAGGGTCTGGACACATTCTACTCACCATCCTGCTTAACCACAAGTTACACCCAATTCAAGAGGCTGATAGTGTGTGCAGTCCGTACAACCCAGGCCTCAGAGGGACCAAAGGGACCCCGAAAACTCTTCCCTGCTGAACATGGTGACACATGACTGTAATTGGGAGTTGGAGGCAGGAAGATCAGAAACTCATTGCTACATGGCAAATGTGAGGCCAGCCTGGGCTACTTGAGATGCTGTCTCAAAAAAAAAGAAAGGAGGAAGCACAGACATGAGTTACCATATCCAGCACAATGAGCTTTAAATTTTTCTTTTAAAATATTTTTTTAATGTATTTTGTGTGTATGTGTGTGACTGCTATTGTGTGTGCCGTGAGCATGCAAGCGCCTGCAGAGACCAGAAGAGGGCATGAAGTCATCAGAACCAGAGTCAACGAAGGCTGTGCGCCACCCAACACAGGTACTGAGAACCAAACCTGGGTCCTCGGCAAGAGCAGGGAGAGCTTGTCACTGCTGAACAATCTCTCCAGCCCCCAGCTTTTCTAATACTTGGTCTTAACTTCCTTCCTTCTTCTTCCTGTCAGGTGTCCTCTTTTTTTTTTTTTTTTCAAGACAGGAATTCTAGCCTTGGCTATTCTAGACTCTTTGTAGATCCACCTGTCTCTACCTTTCTGAATGCTGGGATTACAGGCTTGTGCCACGGCACCCGGCTCTGTCCATGTGTCCCTCGGATCCCTCGGGATCCACTTCTTGTACATGACAGGACTGAACCACAGCCTGTGGCTTTAAGCCAGAGAGCTTGGGGGAAATTGGCCCAGCCGTGCTGCATGATTGGCCCAGCTGTGCTGCATGACCTACACAGATCCGTTAGCCTACCCAGGCTTCACTTAAGCTGAAAGCAGAAATCACTTTGTACAGAC